TCTATTCCAAGTTGTTGAGTGAATCCTTTGGCTACTAACCTGGCCTTGTATTTCTCTAAACTCCTATCTATTTTGAATTTCACCCACTTGCAACCAATGGCTTTTCTTTCATTTGGGAGATCAGTTAATTCCCAAATATCATTTTTCTTGATCGAGTCAAGTTCTTCATTCATTAGCGCAAGCCATTGTGTAGCATCACTGCTTCTCATTGCTTCATTATAACTAGTAGGGTCAGTTACTAAGTTATTAGGTTCTTTAACTTGAAAAACATAATGGTCTTTCAAAAATATAGATGGACGTCTTGCTCTCTTACTCCCATTTATCTTAGGATTCGAAACAAGTAACACAACGTCATGTAGTTGTCTTTTCCTCCCACTAGGAGGTGGTTCTGGGAGAACTTGTTGTACATCACCAAGAAAGGAAGAGAATAATCCTGAGATACTTTGAAGAGCAATTAAAATCCACGTTCGGTCTATTTTTGGCATCCAATAAACTTGCATTCCCAAGTTTACTTCTCAATTTATCCTTTAAAGGTTTAGAAAGAAACACATTTGCTATGCATTCCCAAACTTTGAGATTTAGAATATGAGGTTTAGTACCATTCTAGCCAAAATGTAAAAAAAAAAACTTAAAATTTATCTCACAACTGACTTGTACTAAAATTGGGATAGAAATCAATTTTCTATGGATGTAGGGTATAATAAAACACATCATAGAGTACTATGAAAAATCCATTAACAGAGAATTTACAGTTGCTGATGTCTAAAACATCACTGTAAGAGTTGTTGCCTATGTAGAAATTGTGTTCACCACTCTTCTTTTTGGTGAAGTCTATCAACATTGTGTTGCATGTTCTTAGAACATGTGACTATGAGTTAGAAATACAACAACATGATCTCAAGACATAAAGCCTCTACCGTCTCAATAACTTTGAGAAAATAAATTGTGAGACTTGAACAATCAATGCTGTAGATATGAAGAACTAACACTTTCTTATATCTTAAGTTTCATGATTTGTGCTTGTATTTGTTTTGAATCATAAATTGACCAATCAATACGAAATTTCCATTCAAATACAAGTTACATAAATTAGAAATTCTAATTTAATAACATTAAGAAAATTTACCAAGTATATAATAAATATACTCTATATTTTCTTAAACTTCAAGAGATCACAAACCAAAAAAATATATGTTTCTTGATGTTTATAATTAAAATCATAACTTAATTTTAAAACACATTCTTAAAACTTTCACAAATCTACTAACTCTTGTGCGCCTTTTCTTAAATCCAAAACAAGGATTTCACCTTGGGCTCATCGGTTCAAATAAATCCAAAATTGTATTAGATTTTTCTCTCTTTTTAATAATGAATTGGATCTAAAACCCACCCATGAATTTGGGCCCACTAATTTTTATTCATGATTTGGACCATTAGCTTGACTTAAAAGTAGAAATAAACTAATAAATAAACAATAACCCAATGCAATTTACTTAATTGGCATCAACTGAAACAATACCTCTACCTAGAACTATTGTCTGCAAGAGGACAGAATTAAGGCCAGAGTCAAAGCAAGTGTTCGGTCTTTCTCTGTTGAGGCACTTCATGGCCTAGTCGCCTTTCTAGGCTTAAAGTCTTATTTAGATAACACATATGAGATATGCAATGGACAAAAAAATAAATTCTCATCAGTGTATTTTGCACTTATCAGCCATGATTCTTTTCAAAGTTGCAGTTATATATAAATGATTGTGTGCATTGAACTTTCCTCTTTTTATTTGCTGTTCTACAAATATATTTTAAAAACACTTGAAAATTAGATGTAGTTTGTTTTCTTCATAAGTGAGTCTGCAAAATAGGTGGAGCCTACACAGATTGTTTACTATGCGAAGGTACCAAACCCACTGATGATACACATATATGAGACTGGAGTAGAACTTCCTTCACTGTGTAAGACGGCACACAAGACCCACTTAATTATGTATTAAATACTTTTTCTTGAGAGTTTTATGAAACCAGGTACGAGCCCAAGGAACACAATTGCACCTATTAAATGCTTCTTGTTCCGGTGTTTCTTTTAGGCAATACTCTTGGATAGCCTCCTCGCCTAATAATGTCTGTAGGAAATTCAGTACAAAAATCAGCAGGATACTTTTGAAAAGAATTCTGAAAATTTTGGCTTTTGAACGACTGAAAACAGCCTTGAAATAAACCAGAACAGGCCGAAAACCTCCGAGAAAAATTGTTTTGTTGATTCAAAAAATTGGGCTGCCAGGTTTGAATCGGTTTGGGCTGACGCAGCAGAAGTGGACTGCGCCTCTGTGGGTTGCGCGTCTGTGGGCAATGTGCTTGGACTGCTCCTTCAATTAAATTGGGCCAATTTCTTTAGTTGAATATTCTGAGCCTTCATCACAGATTTTCTTGCTGTTTTTATATGAATTATCGGGCCTTTTCTTTTTGGTCTTGAATCTGGCCCAGTAGCTACTAGATTAGAAATTGAATCCTTAGTTTCCAAAATAGGTGCAACGGTGTCTTCTTCTCCGGCAACATTTGGTGTCGGTGACCAAAGGCTAAAACAAGATTCCTTCGGACTAATTTTTGTCGTTTTTCATTGGTAAAAACACTATCATGTCCGAAATATTGTGATGAATAAGATGGCGGTGACGATGGATGAGATTGATATCCGAAGAATGATTTGTAAAAAATCCTCCACCGATAGTATTCGGTCTCAATATCATCAAAACTAAGATCGTCGTTTCCACCAATCACCAATTCTTTCGGATGCGCTAAAGGGTTTACGATACGTTGATGATCGTTGAACAAACAAATTGATGTAACCAATCCATGTAATTGTTTGTCAATGGTGCTTTGAATTTTTTTCAAAGCAAATTTTGAAAATTTTTTGTCCACCCCACTATGATTCAACATTCTTGCGCAATAGTATAACCTTGCTCTGATACCACTATAAGAAAAATAAATACCGGGCAATGATCGATAATCCTGTAAGGGTATTTATCACGCAAGAAAGTCGGGAATCCGGAAATTGAAAACGACGGTATAAGAGCTGGTGTTATTTGGTGTTATGTGCCATGTTTATAACCATGTATATATAGGCTTTAATGGTGTCCTTTGGAACCAATGCAACTGCTGGGTTTGTTTCATAAACCCAATAGACACAACTCTTCTATGAACCATTGTGACTCATAAGTTCAAATTCAACTCCTACATTTCTAGATTTGCTCTCTTTCCTTGTGGGAAAGTTTATCATTAATCTAATGGGATATGATTGAGTGTGTACTCTAATTCTATCACATTTGTCTTTTCTTCCTGATCTTTCAGTGGTTCTTTTTTATGCACTATCAAAGTTGCCTCTGATTGAACCAATTCAAGCTCTAAAATTCTTTTTTTCTTTGAGATTAGGTTGTTCTTTTCTTCAAGCTCTCTCAACATCTTCTCATTATCAATTATAACAGATTCTTTTGATTCAATAATTTTTTTGTAAATTGAGTTGTATTTCGCTTCCCCCAACCACTTCTTCACTCAATTGTTGTAGCTCTTCTTTGAGTTCACAAACCTTATTTGGCAGACAATCTTGCCTTCTCCTACTTGAGACACTGTTTTTCTTTAATCTTTGCAAGTTTAACCTTTTCTATTTGAAGTAAGAGATCATTTTCCTTCTCTTTCCATGCATTTTCTGCAGCTTTTTCCTAGCCTCGGAATAAATTTTCTACAGGCTTCTAGATTTTGATAGAAAATTTGGGAAGAGTTGGTTGCAGAAAAAGTACTCTATTTGAGAAATTCTGTCTTTTGCTTCCTGAATTGTGGCAACCAGTATGGCAATAAGACCAGAGACATACTTGTAGTTAACAACTGCTGTCCAATGTATTAATGCTTCCAGAATAATTAGAGCATTTGGTAATTAGAGTATTTGGTATTGTTTTTGTTTTCTATTTTCTGTTCTTGTAAACTACTAAAAAAAATATAAAAAGAAGGAAATTGATACTGAAAACTTGTTTGCGAAAACTGTTCTCGGGAAAAAAGTGCCCCCCACTTTTAGTTAACACTTTCAAATTGTTTTCTAAATTTTCAAAAATGGTTTTGCACAAAAAATGAAAACGATTGTTGTTTCCCAACTTTTCATTGTTTTTGTTTATGATTTTTTTTTTTTTTTTTTTTTTTTTTAAAAATGATAGTAAATGGGGCCATATTTCCCACCATCAATAAAAAAACCAATGCAATCTCTGCGGATTGTTTGTGAACAAAATAGGGGAAACATTAGCCAAGTGTACAAAATAGTTTTTTATTTTTTATTTTTTTTGGCATTGGTTCACTGGCTTTAGAAACCAGCTTAGGGAAAACTGTAAGCTACCCTCTTTGTTGGCTCTTCAATGTGTAAAGATATTTGTGATTAGATGGTTGGATGCTAAATTCTTCATTAGATATTGACTGTCCGAATTAACTTTAAATTGCGTATGGTCTAAAATAACTTAGCGACTCTAATTTTCTCAGCTGGAATGCTGAATACGCAACATGTCAGTTGGATCCCAATTTTTTACTTGTAAGCTATGCATAATTGAAACAAAGGAAAGGACTGTTACAAGTCTGAGAATTTCAATTGTTTAATCTCAAAACTATATAAATTTCCTCACACTACGTAGGCAAGGTGTTGTATTCTATGAAATGTTTGTTCAAATTGTGAACCTAATAGGATACCAGTAAGCCTAGCTGCTGAAGTCTCTCAACTCAATGGTAATATGCAGGACATTTGATCAAATTCTTTCTTTAAACTCTTATTTGGTTTAGTTTTCAAAACTTGGCATGAAGCGTCTCTTGGAGCGATATTAGGTGCCATCAACACTGAGGTGGGCTTCACTCGCTTGATGATTTTCTTGATACTCCTACAGAGAATGTCAAAGGAAACTTTAAAAAGCCCATGAAGGAAGAAATTCAGAGTCTACCAAACCAAGTTCTGAAGGAGCTTCAAAAATGAAACACAGGACATGAAGAGAGATCCTGGCCCACATATGCAACAAATGTCAGTTTCTAGGCTTGCTAAGAGGAGATTTAAGTATATTGAACCAATAAGAAAGAAAGCAGAAAGGGAAAATTTGAGAGTTATTGAATACAAACAGTGCAAGAAATTTATGATGCTGTTCTTCTTGGTGGTGGAGGTGAATACATTGATGGTAATAAGCAGAACGTACGCTGTGAACATCATGTTTGAGTTTCCAGCCATCAATATAGCGTTTGAAATTTGAGTTGCTTGAATTGGCGTTTAACTAATTCAATTACAGTTGTCTAATAATTATTTTCATTCTTGCTGCTTATAATGCTCTAGACTGAATTAACTAATTCAATTACAGTTGTCTAATAATTATTTTCATTCTTGCTGCTTATAATGCTCTAGACTGAAATAAAGCTTGGAAAATTAGCCAAAAAATTTGAAAAAATCAACTTTCTTTTGGTCCACATGTTTAACTGTAGTGTCTCCTTTCAAGATTAAATAATGTTGTTCGTGTTAACATCCTGCTAGTGCTCTCTGTCTGGTAAATAACATTCTAGTTTCGCCTTTCAAACTTAGATATTGTTGTTCATGTTAACATCCTTGCAGTGTCCTCTAGCAGTGTTCAACATCAAGAGACACACTCACAACAAGGCTGTGTTTGGACCATGGATACTCACCTTTTCACTTTCTCTTTTCAAATTCTTAACCAAATTTATAATCCAAACACAGCCTAAGGGTTTTCTTGGATGCCCCTTCCAGTTTGAATATGGTCAGTGGTTCTTTTAAAAGTTTAACATAAAACTTGGATGTAAGCTGTCATTTTCTTAAATTGGCTCTATTTGAGATGATGCATTTTTTATATTGAATTGCTATGTAAAGGGTGAAGAAATACATATTCAAAACAAAAAAGAAAAGAAAAGATAGAGAGAGAGAGAGAGAGAGTGATTTTAAGAAATGCATATTCATTTTCTTTTGATTTCCTTAATCTCACTAATAAAATCAAGGGATTGTTTGGTATCATTTTCATTTTTTTTTTAAGAAGAAATTAAAAGTTTGAAATTGTTTTTATTTTCGTGTGAAAATATTTTCCAAAACTCAAAAAACAACTTAAAAGTAAAATTTTGAAAAGCAGTTGCGGTCGCCGTAATGGTTGCGGTGACACAGTAGTTGTTGTGGAGTATAAAGGTCGTAGCGTAACGGTCACGGTAATCGGAATTGTAGTTTTTTTTAAATTTTTCGCACAATTTGAAGAAAACTTTTATTGGGGTTTAAAATAAATTTTGATCAATGTTTATTAATTTTTAAGTGATCCAATGTATTTTATATTTTCAAATCATTATAAAATGAGCTTTTTACATTTTATTTCAATAGTTAATAATTTTAAAAATAATTGAATTTAAATGTCTACAAACTATTTTTTACTAATATCTGAACTAACTAAATAAAAAATATTCACAATTATTAAATGAAAGGATTATAAAATAAAAATTATGCTATAAATTAAAAAAAATTATAAAGAAAAAAAATTCATATAAGAATTTTTCTTTGGATTTTGACCACTTGAGTATTTGTTCTTTTTTTGCAAGGTTTTTTTTTTTTTTTTTTTTTTTTTTTTTTTTTGTGTTGTATGGTAGTTTCTAATGAGATATCATTTGTGTTATAGGAACGAGGGCCCCTAAAGTGTCATAATCACTCTTCCAAGATCCTTGCATGGCCATGGTGGCCAGTAGAAAACAACACCAGATTCAAAGCCATTACTGAGCAGTCTGGGCTGTCACAGTTAGCCCGTTGCACTTATTGGTTCGTCAACAAGTTTTTAATCTCCAGTTTTGTTGAGAGATGGCAACCTGAGACGAACACATTTCACATGATAGTTGGTGAGATGACCTTGACCCTGGATGATGTTGGCACTATTCTTGGCCTTCCCATTGTAGGCAAATCAGTTAGCGTACCAGATGTGACAGATCATCATGGAGTTACATTACTCGTTTATGGCTTGGGGATTACTGAACGTGTAGCACATGAAGAGGTTTCTTCTGTTGGGGGCAATTCAGTCAAGCTTGAATGGTTGCAAAGTCAGTTTGCTGGTGTCACAGATTCAAACCCCGAGGAGGCTATACAGTGCGCTGCAAGAGCTTATTTGTTGTTTCTGTTGAGATGTACACTCTTCAGTGACAAGAGTGGCGGCAGGGTTCCCGTTGTTTACCTCGGCTTGTTGATGGATTTGGGCTCCATACATACTTATGCCTGGGGTGCTGCTGCATTAGCATTTTTATATAGACAGTTGGGGTATGTTAGCCAATTCGGTGTTAAGCAGATGGGTAGTTATATGTCTTTTTTGGAGGCGTGGATTTATGAGCACTTCCGAGCATTCCGACCTCTCCAGAACATTGGCTACAATGAAAACATGTCACACGTGCACCAGTGGACATCTAGGAAAGAGGCGGGTTCCTCCATTGATCATTTCAAATCTTTTCAAGCGGAGCTTGACAGTTTGGTAGCAACTGATGTAAGTTTACTCGTCCATCAATAATTTTAACACTTTCCATTTATGTTACCCTTTATATACTTTAATTCAAAAACACTTTACGTTTATAGGTTATTTAGGATTTATACCATAGTTGCAGAGACCGGCATCCATGTAACCCGGTTACGT